CCAAATGCCTCTTGGGAAAAACTTAGTCAAAGGCATGAGTCAAAAGCCAAAGTCAAAGCTCCAAGTTAACTCAAATCGCCAAGTTCCCCCATTAATCAACAGAATCAGAAAGATTCGATCTAACTCGACGAGTTCACCCATGAACTCACCGAGTTTCCCCTTTAGAAATCAAAATCGGGAAAACTCATTCCAACTCGCCAAGTTCACCCATAAAATTGTCGAGTTCCTTAGTCAGCAAAACCTCTTAATCTATTAAGTCACCAAATCAACAAGACAAAGCTCATGGATGCAAATCTGGACCTCAAAGTCTGAAATTTCAAGTAAAGTTTCCAACTTTACTCTCATACAAGGTTAGAAGAAGCTCAAAAGCTCAAAAGAGGCCAAAAGAAGGGATTAATGGATGCATGGAGCCCTTAAGACCATAAACTTGGCACCTTTATGCCACAAGAGCTCCCAAGAACCATGCATCTGAAAGAATAACTCCTTTAGGACGACCAACACCCCTATCAACCACTCAAACTTAGCTAAACCATAGAAACTAGCAGTAACAAGGAAATCTAAGCATATAATAAGCAAGGTTAGAACTATATACCACAAAAATTCTGGAAATGGATTAAAGAATCGAGATCTTAAAGCTCCTTCTTGAATCCCCACCTTTCACTAAGATCCTCTTCCTTTAATAAGCTTCAAAGACCCCAAAATGCACTCAAAATGGGCTCACAACACTCAAGGAGGCTCTAGGGTTTCAAGATTAGGGTAAGGGGCAATAGAGACTGTAAATGAGGCCAACACCTGGGACTTAAGGTGTTTAAATATGGTGCAAACCCCCAAAATTAGGGATTCTCAAATAATGTCCAACTTGTCGAGTTGATCCTCTAAAATGTACGTGCCAAAGACTTCCACCACGTCTAGTTTCCTTCCTTAAACTCAATGAGTTGGCCTTTAGGAAGGATGATTTATTTCCATAATTACCTTCTAGATCTGGGCGTTACAACTCTCCCCCACTTAAATTAGATTTTGTCCTCAAAATCGCTCCTTATTAACACCCATCGAAAGACCAACCTGATGATTTAAACAAAAAAAATCTACGCACAAAAATAATCTTCCCAAGGCAACCGAAACTTCTATCCTCAGAATAACATCCAACCCTTCAGCCCTTGCAACCACTTCTACCTTTTTGGGACTAGAATCTATAATGGTTTGACACCCCGACAGGCCGCTCATGCTGAAACAACTCCATGCCTACTTCTCAATGAATAACCGACCAATCATAACACTTCGAATTCTGAACGTACCACAACATATCCAAATTACTGAAACCACCCTTAGAATAGTTCTTCAAGCCTGATAAGGAAAAAAACCACAATTCCTTGAATAAAACCCAATCCTATCTCACCAGAATTCCAAAATTTGAAGTCTCAATGGTCTTACCTCTGTCAGACCTTTCACACCAAACCACCGCCAAACCATCCTCATAGAGTTTCATACCAAACAAAATGCTTCCAACCCTCGATCATATTGTTGCTTCTAAAGGAAACAAAGTCACTGACCATAAACAGCTACATAATACTTACACATAACAGAAGGCTCGGATAATCCTTCGAGTAGAAGATTCATTCTTGCATTGGTTAGACTTAGATAAGAGCTGCGCAACAAGGTCAAATCAACTACTCTGAGATTATTTAATCCTAGTGTGAGTGACTTAGAATTTCCTAATCCACCAGTTACTCCACACATACAAAACCCAAATCACTAAAACCGCCTGAACACTGCCACACTGGAACTGCCCAAAACACTGATATTGCCCAACACCCGGGACTTAAGGCGGTTAAATAGGGTGCAAAACCCCAAAATTAAGGTTTCTCAAATAACGTCCAACTCGTCGAGTTGATCCTCAAAAATGCGTATGCCAAAGACCTCCAACACATCGAGTTTCTTTCCCTAAACTCGATGAGTTGGCCTTTAGCAAGGATGATTTATTTCCATAATTACCTTCTAGATTATGGGCTTTACAAAGAAGATATTCAACAAACTTAAGATCATGAAGATCACTTAGGTTTTCAACAAGAGAAATATATTTCTTATTAAACAAATCTCTTTTTTCTCCTTCCTTTTGATTTTCACTACTAGATAACATGAGACAAGAAAGTCCAAACAAACAATCAATCTTCGAAAGTGGTTGAAATATCAATCTTCCATGATCATCCTTCAAACCTCCATAAGAAACCAAAGCTTTCCATGAAATCAACCCGCTTAACAATATCCCATAAAATTGATTTTCGTTGACTTTGTATTTCACATCTTCAACGATCACAACCCAAAAATCATATGGCAAGTCCACCATCTTTGATCAATCGATAAGATCTTGAGTTTTTCTAGAGAGAGAAAGTGATAATCAAAGAGATCTTTAGAGAGAGAAAGTGAATATTAACCAAATTCTAGAGAGAGAAAATGGTACAAACAAGTATTCTAGAGAGAGAAAATCAAATTATGGATCAAATCAAGGAAAAAGTCGATTTCTAGAACACAAAACACTCTCTAAACGCGAAGATCAATAAGAACATGAAGAATCACAAAATCTAAAATGTCATCATGGATCAATTTTGATCAAATCAAGAACACATGCTCTGATATCAATTGTAGTTGTGTTGATTATGATGACAAATGCGGAATATGAAAGATCTAGTGAATCATATACAAATCATTAACACATTGACTATATAAATCTGGTTTAAATTATGGAATTTAAAGAATGTAAGCTAAGTAAATCATTTAGCCAAACAAAAACATGTATGGAACATAAAAATTACGTTTTTCAATTGTCAATGTGATGGTCATGTATGTCCATGTGAGAAAATGATCTTTTATTAAACCGAAGTTAAAATATTTTTGGTGCCCTAATAAAATATTACACAAATTAAATATCTATAAATTCGTAATGAGAAATTAAATTGCCTCCTACCTTTTATTCCTATAATTATTCCTACCCACTAAAATTATGACAAATCACCATTCAATTTATAAATTGAACTAGCAATTTACCAAAATATAAGAAAAGTACAAATTGTATTATCAACATATCAAACTATCAAACTAACAATTACTAATTATAAATTACCAACATATCAAAATATAACCAAATTAACAATTATCAAACTACAAATTATCAATATATCAAATTATAACCAAACTACAAATTAATTACTAACATATAAAACTATAACCGAACAAACGATTAATGGTTTGGTTTTAAACCTTAAAGGTGAAATTAAATTCAATACATATCGATTGAAGGTAAACGGACAACATGGCGTCGACTTAATTGCCAACATTTTTTTGTAGTGATTTGTTTAAAGAAAAATATGATCAACATGGTATTACGAAAGAGAAATTAAATTCATTCCTACTTTTTATGCCTACAAATGTTCCTATCCAATAAAATTATGACAAGTGTCATCTTTCTATATTTTTTAAACTAAATCATTAACACTATATTAGGAATATATCAAATATAATTAAATTGAATGGTGATTTGTCATAATTTTAGTGGGTAGGAATAATTATAGGAATAAAAGGTAGGAGGCAATTTAATTTCTCTTATGTTATTTATTCCTATAGTTGGATATTTTCAAACAATTTTTGTTGACCCGACTTGTAATGCACTACTTGAAAATGATACAAGAGGGAATGAGGGGAGGGATTGACATGTTTAACTGGTTTTAAGGCTTATGTAATGTTTTTATTAGAATTATAACATATTTTGTAATTATAGTTTGAAGCAATTTGGGATCGTTGATGTATTATTAAATTTTTAATGTTTGGATCCGTTTTTCTTCAATTAATCTTCGTGACAGTTTTAATATTTTGTTGTGGCTTTTCTACATCTGGAAGGTGTGGTTTAAAGAAACATAAAAATACTAGTGGCATCGTTTGCATTAGTGGTGACGACAATATTAGTAGCGATAATATCATTAACGGCGACTAGACGTACTAACGGTGTCATTTGGAGCAACAGTGTCACCATTATCACCTTTAACGACCATTTTCGGGACTATTTATTTCTCAGTATTGTTGTAGAGAATTGGGCTCATCGCCTAGGATACCATAAATACTTAGTGGCAAAGGAAATAAGAACTATAACGTTTACCAAACAAAGTTAATATAATCACGCCTTTATTAAGTTGGGTTTATATATATATATATATATATATATATATATATATATATATATATATATATATATATATATATATATATATATATATATATATATATATATATATATATATATATATAATATACAATTATTTTCTTTACAGTTTATCATTGGGTAACTTTTTTCGTAATATTTTGAACCACTTAAATTTATTTGGAATAAAAAAAACGAATTAATTAACTGACCAATGTCAGAATTATGTTATACAAATATTTTATCTCTAATAATTGTAGTACTATCAAATACTTTAACACAAAGTTCTAATCTTGAATTCTTGATTCAAGTAACTGTCGTGTGTGTTATTATCATATTTCACCAGTAATTTACTTTCAGTAACAAGCTTAAAATAATGTAGAAGATAGAAATTATTAACTAGAAATATGAAAAAAGAAAAAGAATTCATAAAGAATGGGACTCAATCCCCATGCAAGAGAGATAAAAGTTGAAATCCAAAAGGGAGTTAGGGACTTCCAGTTGAAATCCAACTTGTCTGTCCCACATGCATATATCTAGTTACACATACAACACACTCCACTAAATGTCACCCAATACAATACCTTCAGTCTATATCTAGTTACGAAAGCTGTCATCCCCCAACCCAAACCCCCCTCTGGAAACAAAATCCAACGAAACACCGTCTCCCTCCCCCCCACACTCTTGTCCACACTCGCATTCACTCTGGCTTATACTAGCACACATTCTCTCAAAACCTACATTATGATTTTCACAATTACCCCTAAAAGAGAAAGGAGAGAGAAAGAGAAAAACAAAGAAACTAAAAGGTTTAGAACCCATCTTGATGATATCGATTGACGAGGGATGGTGACATATCCGTGCCACCACCACCACCACTTCCTCCGGCAACTGTGAACCCTTGACCAACAGGTGCACCGATACATGTGTAGTTATTAGTGCTATCGGGTGGTGGCACGGTGGTGCCGTTTATATTCTGGAGGCTGAATGGTGGTGGATTGTTGGAGCACACATGTCCTACAAAGTAGTCGTTTATCATATTTGACGAAGGATATTGTGAGGAGTAGGTGTTGCTGAGGCGTGGTGTCGGGGAAGTGTACATCTGTGGAGGTGGTTGTGGTGGCGCTGGAGGTAACATGGTGGTGGAAGTACCGGAGAAGAGTCTTGTAGGATAAACTGTACTCCCCATGTTGCAACCTGCTGGATGATGAAACCCTCCATGTACCACTGGTTGTCCACTACATTAGGATATGAATATGACTAGTCAATTATATCTAGATGCAAAAAATAGGACATCATTATTCTATATCCTTTGTGTACTTGTGATCAATGGGATCATTAATAACAAAAGCTTCATATGCTATAAAACAAGCATCGTTGATATTTGAATTTTAATTGAAATTTGTCGTTTTTACCATGGATCGGTTTCCTAAAACCTTAGGATTTTATTATATTTTAGTTTGAGACCAAAATCTTTTTAATGGTCCATTGTTGTAGTTCACATATTAACAGAAAGTTGAAGGCAATGCCTTTCGCACCCTTGAAAGACATCTTAATTCAAGATCATTTTGGGAAATGAAATAAAAAATAAAAAGTTATCCTTCTAGTGTTTTAAATAGATCTAAGAAAGGATAAAAGCTTTTTATTCTTATTAACTAGAGAAAGATTACAAGTTTTTTGGTTACTGCAAAGTAATTAACATCCAACAAGAGACTTAAAAGCGGCATATCATCAACTTCCTAAAACAAACTAGTTTATATATATATATATATATATATATTATATATATATATATATATATATATATATATATATATATATATATATATATATATATATATATATATATATATATATATATATTAAAAAAATAATAATGAGAAGAAGAAAGTTACCCTAATTGGTGAGGGATTTGGGGTAGGAGGTTATCGTTACTGAAAACCAGCTGACGAGCCCGGTTTAGGGTTTCTGTCTCCCTCTCTGAGACCACCACCACAAACAATAGGTTAAATTAAAAAAAAAAAAAATTAAAAATATTATTTGAAGAAATGAGGTCGAATCCATCAAGGGAAGATTTGAATTTGGCATAAAATATAACGTTTTTATTTTTATAAAAGAAGGCGTATATTAATCTCAGCATCTTACAAACAACTTTTTTGCAAAATCAAAAAGTAGAAAATATGACTTTTTCAGGGTTGAAACTTTGACAAAGAAATGACAAACACTACACTTCATGGCAAATCATTGGCAAAGTTCACAAAGCCCCACCTTTCCTCTTCTCAAACTTTCTGTGTTAAATTTATGTATATGTTTGTGTGTGTGTGTATGAGAGAGAGAGAGAGAGAGAGAGAGAGAGAGAGAGAGAGAGAGAGAGAGAGAGAGAGAGAGAGAGAGAGAGAGAGAGAGAGAGAGAGAGAGAGAGAGAGAGAGAGAGAGAGAGAGAGAGAGAGAGAGAGAGAGAGAGAGAGAGACCTTGACGATGGCGGTTCATGTGTCCCCCAAGTGCTTGAGACTTGCAGAACTTGAGGGAGCAAAACCTACACTCGTAGACCTTCCCACTTTCATCCTTTGCGCCGTTTTTCTTTTTCCTGTAGATTCCTAGATACCATCACCAACATAAAAATCGTTTCAATGAATTGAAAAGCAACATTGATGGGACTTCTCATGTGTTCATTATTTCTTCAAATGGGACTATACTGTTACTCCTAGTGTACACTGAAATTTGAACACCAGTCGTAAGTCTCCATCCGAATGACAACCAGGGTCACCTTGATCGTTACGAAAACTACTAGCATTTTTAATATCCTTCAAAAAGTACATTTTACATGGAACGTATATACGTGACATAAGATTTCTACATAGTGTTATATACAAAAAAATTATATAAATCTTCTAGTTCTAGGGTTTGCATTTGAAAGCTAGCTAGCTACCCCAACTTGAAGCATCAAACAAATTGGTAAAACTTGAATCTCATTTTGAGTGACCAGATGCAGAAGAAGAGGAAAATGAGAAACTGATAGCATTATAGAATACCGGATGCAGAAGAAGAGGAGTCATCAAGCTGTTGTTTGCCGTAATCTCGGGAGAAATCATCCGGAAAATTGTTGAGGTCTAGTGCGTTTCTCCTGAAAATCATGTAAACATGAGAAAAGAGTTATAGGTTAAGTTAACACTGAACTAGAAGAGAGTGATAGTTCAGAAAGAGAGATAAAGGAGGCAGGAGCTTTGAAGTAAAGGGGGTTGTGGGGTGAAGCCTATGATACTTACATGTTGGTACCACCGACAGAGAAAGAAAGAAGTTTGTATAACTTTGAGAGAACTATAAAACTACAACTACAACACAAAAACAATCTTCAGATGAGAGTGGGGTTGTTATGTTATGGGTGTTGGAGAGATAACTGAAGCTATGGAAATTTATAAAAGATCACTTCAGTTTATGACTGAAATCTTGAGAGGCCCCCCCACCCTCTTTGAAAGTTCTCTATCAGTGCTTCTGCCACGCCCTCCTCAGACCTCTTTCTCTAAAAATGGAAAAAAAGGGACAGTGGTTCTCGTGACTTAAAAAGGAGCAGCGAAGAGTGAGATGGTAGAGTGGGACTGTTGTGTTTAAGTTGTGGTAGGACGTGAAATAACTAAATGAGACGAAATTTGTAGGCTATCTCCATTTCTCTTCGACTATTAGTTCCTTCTTCAAACATGATATCATGTCAAGACTCAAGACCCTCACTTTTTAGTTTTATTGTATGTGGGGTTGTGTTACAAGACAAATGCACCACTTGTTATTACATGTGTTGGAGCAAATTTTTATATATTAAATATATTCTTTTAGTGGATTGCGCAAATGATTCATGCATTATTATCAACCATATTCACTTTTAATATTCTTTTTTAAAACGGTATATTTTTAACATCTAATTAACCGGTTGATCCCTCCATTCACTATGAAGGGAAAATTAACCATTTTAACGATCAAAAGCCTAATTAGCTAACAAATGATTAAGGCTGCAGGCAAAGAGAGTACTAACTTAAATAAAAGGTGCATATAACAAATAGCAAATTACGTGGTACCTATGGTTACAAGTGAAACTGGTTAGCTACAAAATAGAAACGAAACAATGATTTTTTTTTTTTTTTTGCCCTGGTGTTAATTTACCACTAGTTAATTACAAGAACGTGTTCATATTAAAAAGTAATACTAAGATGAATTTTAAAGCAATTGATCGACAATCAATAAACACACCCTTGGCTATACACGCTCATCTACATTCTCAAGTCTTCAACTTAATTATGCCGAAGTAAGCAACTTGTTTAAACTATCAGCCACCCACCGATTTAGACAAGCATACTTTAGCTCAAATTGTAATGTCACGGATGAAATGACATCGAATTTTGATGTGATTTGTTCACTATGAAAGACTACATGTTATAGAGAGATTGTTGACTTGTTACAACAAAAGATATATGTGATGGGTTTCTAGATTATAAAAATACATGAGAGCTGAAAAATACTTAACACTTAAGTTCATATGCAAGCTAGAAAGAATCTAGGTTATCTCTATTGATAGCAATAATCTGTAAACATCAAAAAACCATAAGAAAAGGCTATAGAAATCGAAATTCATATACATCTAAGGTTACATACTTTTTTATTATTGTAGCAAATAATTAAAGTAGATTTATTCTTCAAGAACTTGGAAAGCTAACACTAAAGAAATTGATGTCTCTAATGGCTTGTATTTAAAACCCTAGTAGTAAGAAGACTTGATGAGAGAGGAGGATAAAAGAGAAATTCGGCTCTTCAGATAGTGTATATTGTCTGTGAAAATATGATGCCGAATGACCTTATTTATAGCTGATAGAAAAACCATATAAATCCTAATTTGAAATAAAACAACATTATTTCAAATTCATAATTATCTAATTTCCTAATTATCAATAAGGAATATTCCAAAAGTCCTAAAAATCCTCCTTAATTTCATTGAATGTGTTGGAAGGTTCTAGAATACTTTCCTGTTCAACTATTGAACAATTATAGTTTTGAGGATAACCTAAAAAGGACTTTGCTTATAATTCAAAAATATACAAATTTAGTTATTGGCTTAGACACTTTAATCAACAGTCTCCTACTTAGACGAATCTGTAGCTACAATTGCATGTATAGATATTGAACTAAACAACAAAGAGCGCTTTCCAAAGCCACTGTCGAACTCTGATTCAAATCAAATGTTAACACTAAGATAAGTAATCAGCTATTCATTCGTTCTACAAGATATCTTATTAACTGAGTCATGGACTAAATGATCAACCTCATGTTCATTTGTATTGTTTCCAAATTTCCCGATTTATGATCAATTTAGACTACAAAATCGCACACATCAATTTAGTCCAAACTAGGTGCCTGGTTTTTCATAGATAAACTCAAATCACCGAGGGGCCTACATATATCGATTCTCCTTATTATGGCAAAAGGAATGAACTACATTGACTATATAATGATAAAATTTACGTATCAAATCACACATGGAATAACCCTTCATAACATCCAATTATGAGATACGTTTGAGAAAACTACTGCACAACTTATCTTTAAACTATAAACTATATATCCCTCCTTTAATAATAGAATATATTATCATCTTAGAATTACTTGTGATTGAATCCATGAAGTAATCTCTAAGCGTGAGTTTATCCAATATTAAAATCTCTATTTTCAAAGTACTCATAAATATTGTAGCAATTCCAACTGTATTGTTTTAACATCAATTGACAATCTACAATCAATTCATGACAATCTTAATTCACTATTTATTTCCAAAAGTATAAACAACTGTAGAATTTTGAATAATATCAAAATTACTTAGGGAAGTAAAATATATAAAGTGAAACACAATAATAAATTAATTAACTATGGTATCATACTCATTAATCATAAATAAATCCTTATTAGTTAATAACCAAAAAAATTATGAAATTACTCATTGTATAAATTTTTGAGTAATCAACTAACCACTTGAATTAGATAACATTAGTCATGTCATGTCATGAACATCCATACTATGCTTCTCGATGGTCGTTGCTTTGTGAACAGATTGATTAGACATTACTCCAACGACGCTCAATTCATAAATCCAAATTCTTATCACTTTCTAAGATGTAGTGGAATTTCATCATTACATATATTGTCTTTTTATGGCAAGGTTCTTAAGTCACAGAGACCGAGCCTTCGACATTATAGAACGTTCTACTAGAACTTGTTACTCAGAACAATTCCATGGTTATGAAGTGTCAAATTTAAGGTACACTCATTCAACACTTCTTTTCATTAAAGTTTCCAACTCAAATGTAGATTTTGAAAACACATCCCATTATGGAAACATTTCTATATTCCTATATGACTATAAATTCTGACCAAGAATGTAACACCCTTGTTAGGTATTTTATTTTTCAGCCCATGAACTTATTATAAATTGCATTTTGGCCACTTACACTAGGCGTACTACCCTTGTATGTCAGGCGTAAGTCTTCAAGGAAGTCAAGTTGGAGGAGGGAGTATGTTGGGCGTAGCCATGAGTATGTCAGGCATATGCAGATTCTAAACCCTAAATTTTAGGGTATGGCCCCTATTTATTCACCTAATCCCTCCTATTGACATTCTCTCATCCGGTCTCCACTCCCTCTAAACCCTAGAGTGAAACCCTAGATTGTGTATGAGAGATTTAAATCTAGGAAAGTGAATATATAGTGTTTGGGTGCTAGGAAAAAGATCATTCAAGAAGTGATGGTATACTCTAGCTTGTAGATCCAGAAACATCATCATCTTTTGCACCTTTTCAAGGTCTAAATTTCAAATCTTGGAGCATATTTGAATAGAGCTTGTTTAGTCTTCATTTTGGTTCTTTTTGTCCCAAAGCGTGGATCTTTTTTGGTACGGAGTACTCCATAGCTATTAAGTAGTCCTTTAACACGTTTTAAGATGTCTCAAGTCATAAAAATACTAGCTAGAACATTTCTTTTCTTCCATGCAATAGGTGTGGGGGGTTTTATGAAGTAAAAGTTATGGGTTTGGGGTTTAACTCCTTGTAGCCATGCAAAAGCTTAAAGTCATAGACTTTATGGATTAAGACGTTCATTAGGGGCATTATCACGTTTTGCATGTAGATTGTGGGAACAGCTTACATACGCTGAGCGTACGCTTGGCTACTCCCCGCGTAGCCTTATGTGAGCCCGTTTTTTGGTCATGTGTTCTACGCCCAACGTAGAGTCAAGTACGCCAAGCGGATTGACCAAGTTGACTTTTGTGGAATCTGAACATTTGAGTATTAGGTGGACGCTAAGGGATTTGTGAAGGGTAAAATGGTCTTTTATTCTAAGTGTGGACTAGACTTGACTTGGAGTTAGTAGTGTGGGTGTGTGTGTGTATTAATACCTTAATTATTAATTAAGGTTGATTGGTGTATTTAATTAGGCAGAGTCTAGTTCCGGCAGTTTGGGTATGAGTTCTATCAGTCATCAGTTTAGGTGAGTCTCCTCACTTATACTTACCTGTGTGGTAGAATAATTGTAACAAAATCTCCAAGTGACGGTTTATATGAAAAATGTTTTTTTATGGATTTAAAAATGAAAAATTTTGGTTTGAAAATTTGGCTGTTACAAAGAATCATTTCTATCCAAAACGTGTCACTATGGTCCTTTTCAAATAATATCATACTTTCAATTGTCCACAAGCAACCAATTCTTCGGTCAAACCTTAGAACGTTCTTGACAGTTTTTTGATAACTTCAATCATATGCAATTCTAATCCTTTTCACATAATGCTAAAAGCATTTGAAAAATAGAATAATCAAATATTATATCATATGTAATCGATCATATAAAATACCTAATGTCGAAACATTTCAACATGGTTTGCCTTTGACTACATTCTATTAAATTATTCAATCTAAACTTTTAGATTTAAAATGAAGATGAGTGCCCTTTCCCTTATGTCAACTATAGCATTACAGTTCCTAACTTTTGCAACTTGTAAATTACAAACATTGTTCCATATCGATAGTATTGTCAACATGCAATACCAGGCATAACAATAATGTTCCTACTAGCTTTGACATGTACTTAGAAATTAATTGGACGACTTCTAGAAATCATTACTTTTGAATTTCTCATGGAAGTACAGATTCCTATTTCGCGATGCTTTATCAAGCCTCTAATTAGGCTTCTTAAGCTTATGCACTTTATCTGGATAATGTATGTGTTCAACCTTTTTCAAGACGTGATATACATATCTCTTGAAAGTCTTAACAATTTATTGTCATTACTCACAACATAAAATATGAAGAGGGATTCTGTAATCATATTATAAATTTCAGAATGTAATTAATACAACCAATATTCATATTGATCTTTATCAGACCTTTTAAAATCTACTAGTAAAAGTTTTTCCTTATAACAATTTTCATGAATTAGAGAGAAAGCTTTTATCACCTAGATTCAAAGGTGCATATGTTCTTATTCATGTAGAAGTTTAATTTTCAACCTACAATGATAAGAAAAGGTTTAGGATGATCATAAAACATGATACTAAAGAATTCTCCTTTCTTTTCAGGTTGGAGAATCTTTTATCTTTCTGTCTAACAGATTCTTTTATTCTTTTTGCTACTCTTTGAACCTTTGAAAAGTATTAGAATTCTGCTTAATCTTATAAACAAAAACATATTTACTGAAGCATCAGTAAATCATGATGAATAGATTTATTGTCCCTTTGTAGTGGATCTGAAGAGTCTGTATCAACATATACAAGATCCATTACTCTTTCACTTGCATCACGTCAACATGTGAACAATGGATTAGTCATAATTTTCAAATGAATAAGAATCTCATGGATCATGCAATTCAAATTGAATGACTCCATGTTTTTGTCCAATTGAAACTTGGTGATGAAACTCCTTTCATATAACTCAAGCA